AAATGAATTGTGATGATTTGAAAGAGGGCTTCAAAAAATTATAGGATCACCTTAGTTCTGATTTATTAATATAATTGATTGGCTTAAAACAATTAAAAAAAAACCTAAGGAGATAGTTTCACTAATTTTTACTTTGCAAACTTTATTTTGATTTCTTAGAAGTCAGCATCAATGTGTATTTAGGAGGAGATTTTGGGAATATTTATCCCAAGTCAAAATTAATGAACCTACAGAGATAATTTAATGTAGTCCCAAAAGAACAAACATGACAGTCATGTTTTCTTACTATTACGCCTTAAAACTGGAAATTAACACTAAACGTAAAGAAAATGTGGTATACATACACAATGGAGTACTATTCAGCCATAAAAAAGAATGAAATCGTGTGTTTTGCAGCAACATGGGTGAAACTGGAGGCCATTATCTTATGTGAAATAACTCAGAAACAGAAAGACAAATATCACGTGTTGTCATTCATAAGTGGGAGCTAAACAGTGTGTACACATGGATGTAGAGAGTAGAACGATACACAGTGGAGACTCGGAAGGGTGAGGGGAACGAGAGAGGGTAGATGATGAGAAATTACTTAAAGGTTACAGTGTAAGTTATTCGGGTGATGGATACCCTAAAAACCTTGACCACTACACAATCTATGACTATAACAAAATTGCACTTGTACCCTATAAATTTATTCAACCCTAAAAAGAGAAATTCACACTAAACGGATAACAAAATCTAACCATTTGAAAACATTAAAACATTTTTAAAAACATTTGAGTTAAGGAAGAAATTCAAGATTGTTATGAAATAAATAACAACAGAAATCTTATAAATCATCACTATGGGCTGTGGTGATGCCAATAATCTAAAAAGCTCTATGTTCTTTCATAATTAAAGAAGAAATATTACAATACAAACTAAACATTCAATTCACAAAGCTAGAAAAAGAACAACACATTAAAAGGAAGGAATTACTAATGATGAAAGTAGGGATAAATGTATTAGAAAACAAAACAGGCCGAGTGCAGTGGCTCATACCTATAATGCTAGCACTTTGGGAGGCTGAGGCAGGAGGGAGGATCACTTGAGGCTAGGATTTTGAGACCAACCTGGGCAACATGCTGACAGCCCAGTCCAGCTACTCAGGAGACTGAGGCAGAATTGCTTCAGCCCAGGAGTTTGAGGCTGCTGTGAGCTATGATTGTGCCACTGTACTCCAGCCTGGGTAACAGAGTGAAACTCTGTCTCAAAAATAAATAAATAAGTTAAAAAGAGTTAAAATAGAAGGTATATATGGTAATAATAATAATAGCAGGCTGGGCGCAGTGGCTTACACCTATAATCCTAGCACTCTGGGTGGCCGAGGCGGGCGGATTACTCAAGGTCAGGAGTTCGAAACCAGCCTGAGCAAGAGCCAGACCCCATCTCTACTATAAATAGAAAGAAATTAATTGGCCAACTAATATATATAGAAAAATTTAGCCAGGCATGGTGGCGCATGCCTGTAGTCTCAACTACTTGGGAGGCTGAGGCAGTAGGACTGCTTGAGCCCAGGAGTTTGAGGTTGCTGTGAGCTAGGCTGACGCCATGGCACTCACTCAAGCCTGGGCAACACAGTGAGACATTGTCTAAAAATAATAATAATAATAATAATGGCAATGATACTAAAATGGCTCATATGTGATAATAATAATACAGTGTAATACTGTAGTAATAATAATACCCCTGTAATGTAATAAGTTACAGAAACTATTGTTCTCTGTCTTTTAATTCAACAAACAGAACATAAAGACAAACTCATACAAAAAATTTAGATAAGAGCTAGAAGAAATTTCAAAAAAGAATATTAAAGGTTAACACTCACCTAATGTTGCATCAGAGTCTTGCTTACTGGAAGGGGCATTTCTGAGGCAGGAAGACAGAGAACATTAATCGGAAGATGATGGAGAGGATGGAGTGGGTGAGGGAGAATCAGGGTTTGATTCTGTGCTGTAGGAGGGGAGCTCACCACTGAAGTTGCTTTCTTGAAAAAGGTATTTAGAGGGGCTAGGTGAGGTGTCTCACGCCTGTAATCCTAGCACTCTGGGAGGTCAAGGAGGAAGGATCCCTTGTGGTCAGGAGTTCAACACCAGCCTGAGCAAGAGTGAGACCCCCTTCTCTACAAAACAATGTAAAAATTGTCTGGGCATGCTGGCACACACCTGTAGTACCAGGTACTCAGGAGGCTGAGGCAGGAGGATTGCCTGAGCGCAAGAGTTTGAGATTGCAGTGAGCTATGATGCTGCCACTGCACTCTAGCCAAGGTGACAGAGCAAGATCCTGTCTCAAAAAAAAAAAGAGAGAGAGACAGAGAGAAAGAAAGAGGTATCTAGCGTTGTTTGCACAGCCGTTTTCCTTTTTCTCAAGCTCAGCGATCCTACTTCAATGAGATGAAAGCCTTCAGCTAATTCTTTTGTGTAAATTTTCTTGGCTGTGGATCTTTGATTCTTCACGTTCTTATGTTTCTATCAGCTGCTTCTCTCTCTATCCATGAGACTGGCCGCTAGCGTTAAAGATGCCGCACCAAAGAACCACTTACATCATGCACAGAATAATCCAGTTCCCTAATCATTAATTTAATTATTTAGTTATAAATTATCCTAAGGGGAGCCTTGGGAGCCTATTTGTAAGTACACCTTACAAGTGGTCATCCGTAAGCTTAGGGTGGTCACCCGTAACCCAGGGACTGCCTGTATAGGTAAAGTTGAGTATGAGATAAAGTTGTCATCTTAAATCAAAAAGATGAATTAGTTAATGACTGGAGCCAGATCAATTGATAATCCAAGGGGTGGGGGATTAGGGGAATGTTAGATCTCTACATATATATCTTACATACAAACATTTCAGGATAGTAGATTTAAGAAGTAAATATGAAAGAAAAAATTGAAAGCATAAAAGTAAATACGGGAGAACTTTAAAGAATATGTTCAGAAGCCAGGCACAGTGCTACACACCTGTAGTCCCAGCTACTTGGAAGACTGAGGCAGAGGATTGCTTGAGGCCGGGAGTTTGAGACCAGCCTGGGCAACCCAGTGAGAGCCCATTACTAAAAAAAAGAAAATGCTCAGAGAAAAGAAGGCCTCCCCAAACCATAAAGGCTAGATATGACTACATAATAAGGTTCTCTACAATGAAGGACAAAATTTAAAAGACAAATGATAAATGGAGAGAAAACATTTGCAGTATATATTAATATAACAGAGAAAGGATTTAGGGTAGAAAGATATTAAGAAATATTATGGAATAAGAAAATCAAAAACAGTTCGATTAGGGGAGGAGGAACTAGTAAATGATTTGAAGAGGTAATTTGGAAATAGAAGAGGCTAATAAATATTTTTATTTGGTGGTATTTGCAAAATTTTAGAGTTTGCCAGTATTTGGTATTGGGGAGGTGTAGGGAAATGGGCATTCCCGGGCACTGACTCTGGGGGACGATAAATGATTTGATGAAATGTCTCTTACAGTTGCACATGCTCAGTAGCTTCTACCTGGCATTTTTATTTCTAAGAATTTTTCCTAAACAATATTAGCACAATTCTTCAAAAAGATACATGTGAAATGTTATTTGTAATATAATACATAATAGCAACAAAGAGCAAATTACCCTGGGCCTATGTTACTTAAGTAAATAGTCATTAAAAGAAATATGCATACAGCCAACAAAAGGATTGAGTTATAGCTACATTTACTAAGATGATAAAATGTCCAAAAGATAGCAGTGTTAATGAATAAAGCAAATTGAAGAAAAAATATGAGGCCGGGCGTGGTGGCTCACACCTGTAATCCTAGCACTTTGGGAGGCCAAGGCGGGCGGATTGCTCAACGTCTGGAGTTCGAAACCAGCCTGAGCGAGACCCCGTCTCTACCAAAAATAGAAATAAATTAATTGACGAACTAAAAATATATATACAAAAAATTAGCCGGGCATGGTGGCGCATGCCTGTAGTCCCAGCTACTCGGGAGGCTGAGGCAGTAGGATCGCTGAGCCCCGGAGACTGAGGTTGCTGTGAGCTAGGCTGACACCACGGCACTCACTCTAGCCTGGGCAACAAAGTGAGACTCCGTCTCAAAAAAAAAAAAGAAAAAATATGCAGCGTAATCTCATCTGTGTAATTTTAATATTAATAATCATTTATATATACACATCTAAATATATATAATAAATATTTATTAAATAAATATATATCATATATATAAAAGACAGACAAGTATGCATTAAAGAATTGTCAGTGAATCTTGGGAGACTTTCTACCTTATATATTTCTGTATTTAATTGTATATAACTAACATTAAATTGCTTTTATATTTAGGAAACAATTATTTATTAAATACATGGGAGAAAAAGGAATAAACCTAATTGCTCTGCATAGTTTAAAATTTACTTCAAATTTGGGTTGGGGCTAATCTGTCACATAGGCTATCAGTTACGTATGGGCATGTTTTTAATATGAGCTGTAATATATACATAGCTATTTGGAAACTATAGAGTGATATTCAAAGCCAATGTTTTAATGTAAGGGGAAAACTAAAGATATTGTATAATTTATCTTAATAAAGTTGATATCTACATCTCCCAAAATCAACAATTGTAACTACAATAAATGAATTTTCCTCCTTCTTTTGTATTTTGTTGTCTTCAAATTCAAAACTTCCAAGAACAGGTTTCCATGTAGCACACCCCTCTCACAGGTGAGTATGTACTTGCAAATCTGTGGAGGAGTTATGGGCATTCATCAGCCACCTTGGGAGTGAAGACAATTGCATTTTACTAAGACCAGCAGAGTCAAAGAGCATGCCTATAAGGTAGGAATGGCGCTCATCAAATACGCAAATATTGAAAAAGAAGTTACAAATCACAGAACATTCCAGTAATACTACAGATGTGTCTGATAAAACGTGACATTTGTTTTTCAAGCACGGCAACGGAAGTGGAGTAACTATTTATTTGATGATTTCTTCAGGTGGATGATGCTGATGAACCTGACAAAACAGGGGAGAATAAAGCGCCCAGTAAGTTCCAGTCCGTGGGAGTGCAAGTAGAGGAAGAGAAGTGGTGAGTCCACGTGCATTCATTCTCTTTCGTCCTAATGCTGACACATACAGTGAAAGTATTTTTCCTCGTGACAAACCTACAAAATTCAATGATATTTTCCACTAACTTTGGGGGACATTTAGAGGGTAAGCTTGAATCAATATTAGATTCTCTCTTCCCCTTAAAAAAATTTTACCATTTTAGAATGTAGACTTTTTATGAGAAGAGGAATTACCTTGTTTCTATTTTTATTCTCAGAACTTAATAGTGTCTGGTGTTTAGTATGTGTTCGATGAGTAATGAATGAATGGATGAATGGGTGAATGAATGAATAAGGAGCAAAAAAAAAAAAAGAATATTCCCTATCATTATCCTGAATCACCAGTTCCTTTAGTTTACTCTTTAAAATAAGCTTAATTTTGAGTCCTAGTACCTAGAAATAGAAAGTTTAGGGTTTCATAAAATCATGGAATCTGGGATCAACACTTCTGTTTTATAAATGAGGACTTGATGGATAGAGATGTATGAGTTTCTCAGTCAAACTGGAAGGTCCTTGGTGGGTGGAATTATGTTTTATTTATTTATTTAGTTAGTTAGTTTTTGAGACAGGGTCTCACTCTGTTGCCCAGGCTAGAGTGAGTGCCGTAGCGTCAGCCTAGCTCACAGCAACCTCAAACTCCTGGGCTGAAGCGATCCTCCTGCCTCAGCCTTCCGAGTAGCTGGGACTACAGGCATGCGCCACCATGCCCGGCTAATTTTTTCTATATATATTAGTTGGCCAATTATTTTCTTTCTATTTATAGTAGAGACGGGGTGTCGCTCTTGCTCAGGCTGGTTTCGAACTCCTGACCTCAAGCAATCCAACCGCCTCGGCCTCCCAGAGTGCTAGCATTACAGGCGTGAGCCACTGGCACCCAGCCAAGGAATTATGTTTTATTAATAGTGGTAGCCCCAGCTTCCAGCACTGTGCTTGGTACATACTAAGTGTACAATAAATGTTGGCTGAATAAACTAAAACTGAAGTTGTGGTAGGAGAAAGAGCTCTAGATTGTAAATAAGGATATCATCTCAATTTTACCACTAACTTTCTGTGTGTTGATTAGGAAGAATCATTTGAATATCATCTATCCATCCTTCCATCATTCATACATTCAATAAATATCCATGAAATGCCTCCCATATGTAAGGCCACATGTAACTAAACTGAAAATATGAAAATAAGTCACACATCAGTTTATGGAAGTGGTCCTATTTTAGGACTTCCTAGCATTCCATAGATATTGTACTTTTATGTAAGAAGTATATGTGTGTGTGTGTGTGTATATATATATATAAAATTGTATAATGCTGAAAGCCCGGAAAATTGGGACAATCCTTCTGGAAACTAATATGACAAAAGTCAGCAATAGTTATACATCTATCCATACTCATTGACCCAGTGATCATATTCATGGGACCATCTTGAATGAAATCACTCAAGAGGAGGTAAACAATTATGAAACATAATCTATCATTGTAAAAGAAAATCATGAATTATCAAATGTCAAACAACAATAGCATGCTTTTATAATTTATAGCATATCACCTAGGTAAACTATTATACATCTATTAAATGTCATTTATTAAAAAAAAGATAGAGAAACATGGGGAAATTTCCAGGATACAATGTTAAGTGAAAGAGTTGAACATGGAATATCCATGCAGATGGACAAGGACTCAGGTGTAATATGCACAAAAACTATGTCTAGGAGTGACTTTTTTCTTTTACTCTAAAATGTTTACTTACTGTATTTACTGCAAGTTTTAGTAATCTTTGTTTTCATGTCAACTTTTCTAGGCATATGTTTCTTTTTTAAATGTTTTAGAAAATTTTTTGAAAGTATAAATTGAGTAGGCGTGAAAGATCTCATATTAAGAAAACATATTTCTCCGTCTCCCACTAGGTTTCTTTTCTTGATGGTGCAGGAGTTAAAAGCACAGACTCCTGAACCAGAACACCAAACCCTGGCTCCGCCACTTACTAACTGATGGGCCTTAAGCAAATTATGATACTACACATCTTTGGGCCTCTGTTTTCTTACATGTAAAAAGGAAGGTAATAGGCAGTCTCCACTCTGACCGGTAAGGAGCTGAGAAGTCACTACTCTATTTTAACAAGGAAACATCCGAATAAACTGAAAAACCAATAAATCCTCTTATATCGGTCAGAGAAGTGAGGTCACAGGGCAAACTGCTCACCCCGGAATTGGAGAAACAGACAGATAGGCACAGAGAATCACCACTTACTAGAGTAGAAAACCATAGCAGAAACTTCTGCAAGAACCAGTGCAGGGTAGGAAAAGCTAAACTCTAACCGAAGAAGTACGGGAGGCTGGAACTGCAGGGGAACCCAGTCACAGAGAGGCCCTGACGCTTATGTAAGTTTTACCACCAGGAGCTCCACCAGGTCCTCACGGTGTGAATAGCAGAGAAAAATCCACTTGTGCTTCCAGCAAGGGGAAGGAAAAAAGAACCATTTTGAAACATGCCAGAGCATTCTGCTCTTTTTCACAAGGCCTGCACTCAGCAGAAACTATTTTACCAGAACCTTTTGCCTGCTGGGGTTTTATTACAGGCTAACCTACACCAGGAAAGGAAAATACCCAATTCCAGCCCCCTTTATCTGTCTTATCCCACAAAAGGGAGAAAAAAAAATCTAAGAAACACTGGTGAAGTTCACAGTCCAGAGGACAGGGTCACCAAGAGACAAGACTTAATCACAGTACTATAGAAGCTTCTCCTCCCCACATGTTACTAGTACATTCCTAATGGCCTGTCTGCCGTAACTCCTTTTACCCACTATATCATGTCCACTTTAAAAAAAAAAAAAAATTACAAGGCATACTAAAAGGTAAAAAACACAGTTGAAAGAGTTGGAACAAGCATTAGAACCAGAGTCAGATGTGGCAGGAATGTTGGAAATACCAGACCAACAATTTTTTTAAACTCTGATTAATATGCTAAAGGCTCTAATGAAAGAAGTGAATAACATGCAAGAACAGAGGGATAATGTTACCCAAGAGATGGAAACTCTAAGAAAGAATCAAAAAGAAATGCAAGAAATCAAAAACACTGTGACAAATAAGAATGTCTTTCCTGGGCTCATTAGTACCCTGGACACTAATTTCTGAACTTAAAGATGTATGAATAGAAATTTCCAAATCTGAAAAAGAAAAAGTACTGAGAAAAACAGAACAGACTAGCTGACAGCTATGGGACAGCTACAGAAGGTGTAACAGTATCTATGAGGGGAATATAAGAAAGTGAGGAGAAGCTGGGCATGGTGGTGCACACCTGTAATCCTTGCACTCTGAGAGGCTAAGGCAGGAGGATGGCTTGAAGGCAGGAGTTTGAGACCAGCCTGAGCAAGAGTGAGACCCTGTCTCTACTAAAAATAGGAAAAATTAGCCTTGAAACCAAAAATAGAAAAAAAATTAGCTGGGCATGGTGGTGCATGCCTGTAGTCCCAGCTACTGGGGAGGCTGGGGCAGGAGGATCGCTTGAGCCCAGGAGTTTGAGCTTTCTGTGAGCAAGGCTGATGCCACCGCACTCTAGCCTATCCAACAGAGTGAGACTCTGTCCTAAAATAAAGAAAAAAAGAAGGAGAGGAGAGAGAAAAGAATAGAAGCAATATTTGAAGCAATAATGATTGAGAATGTCCCCAAATTAATGCAGATATCACAGATCCAGGAAGCTCCGAGAACACCAAGTAGGATAAATGCCAAAAAAAAAAAGAAAGAAAAAGAAAAAAATTAGACCTAGGTATATCATATTCAAACTTCAGAAAATAAAAACTAAAAAACAAATCTTGAAAGAAGCCAGAGGGAAGGAACATCTTACCTATAGAAGAGGAAGCATAAGAATGATATCAGACTTCTCAAAAATCGTGCAAAAGAGAAGTGTTTAAAGGGTTAAAAGAAAAACCAAAACCACCCCAAAATTCTGTACCTTTTGAAATTATTCTTATAAAGTGAAGGAGAAATAAAGACTTTCTCAAACAAAAACAAGGGTATTCGTTGCCAGCTGACTTGCCTTGCTGACTTGCAAGAAATGTTAAAAAGTTCTTCTGAGCTTCCTGTTAGCCACAGCTGCCATCTTCTAGTAATTAGCCAAAATGATGAACACAAAGGGAAAGAGAACATGGAGTTGTTCCTTTGGCCACATACATGCGACTCTACAAGAAAGGTGATATAGTAGACATCAAGAGAATGGGTACTGTTCAAAAAGGCATGCCCCACAGATGTCACCATGGCAACACTGGAAGAGTCTACACTGTTACCCAGCATGCCGTTGGCATTGCTATAAACAAACAAATTAAGGGCAAGATTCTTGCCAGGAGGATTAAAGTGCATATTGAGCATATATTAAGCACTCTAAGAACTGAGATAGCTTCTTGAAATGTGTGAAAGAAAACAAACAGAAAAAGAAGAAAGCCAAAGGGAAAGGTACCTAGGTTCAACTAAAGCACCAGCCTGCTCCACCCAGAGAAGCACATTTTGTGAGAAGCAATGGAAAGGAGCCTGAGCTGCTGGAACTATTCCCTATGAATTCATGGCGTAAGATGTGTGAAAAATAAGAGACTCCCGGACTGTAAAGATGTTTCTCTTCATTGCATAGAAGTGTGGTTTCTCCTTCTCCAAAGAAACATTGAAAGCAGGTGGGGAGTGGTGGCTCACGCCTGTAATCCTAGCACTCTGGGATGCCGAGGTGGGTGGATTGCTCAAGGTCAAGAGTTTGAAAGCAGCCTAAGCAAGAGCAAGACCCCATCTGTACTACAAATAGAAAGAAATTAATTGGCCAACTAAAAATATATAGAGAAAAAATTAGCCGGGCATGGTGGCACATGCCTGTAGTCCCAGCTACTCAGGAGGCTGAGGCAGGAGGATCCCCTGAGCCCAGGAGTTTGAGGTTGCTGTGAGCTAGGTTGATGCCACCGTACTCTAGCCCAGGCAACAGAGTGAGACTGTGTCTCAAAAATAAAT